AAAGTTAAACCATGTCTGTATATTATATACGTACATATATAGGCACCAATAAAATATTCTTTTATAACTTCAAGCAAAAAACTAAACTTCAAATATGTACAGCCGTAGAACATTTAAATAATTAAATCCGTAATGTAATGAGATACAATTAGTTCTATACTTCATTATATTAGATCAGATAACAAGATATAGAAAGCGAGGAAAGTATTAAAAGAAAAACGACTCGTAGAAAGTACAGCGAGTTACAATGTATCAATGAAATGAATTAATTAAACGAGACAAATGTCCTTACTACGTGTGTTCACATCACACTACAGACGGAGCGTCTACAGTTTTTTGTATCACGAAACAAATATATTGGTTAACAATGGTAAGAAAATAGTATAGTGCGTATAAGAAATGATTAAAATGGTTTTTATTAGCTTGGTTTTCGATTGAAAGTTAAGTATTTGTATATTAATAGCATTATTACACAATATCTACTTAGTATATTTTATTTCGCGATATATATGTATATCGATTTTGTAAATTTTCATGAAAATATCAACTATCAAGATAATTATAGGCATGGAAATGAATTCATTATATTCTCTGTAATGAGGAGACTATAATGTTTCTTTAATCTTTTAACAGTTCATTGACCCATAGATAGATTTGTAAACGATTAATCAGCTAAAAGCATCAATAAGTCTTCATAAGAACTTAGTTACGATATATTTTCTTCATCCGTGATACCAAATCACGATCTGTATATGTTTATAACAAGATAATTTCACTAACGTGATTCAATACATACCAGAGTAATGAACACAAGAGAATTGTGCTTAATGTGAGTTTTCATACAAATTACAAGGAAACAATCAGACTTTATACGATGCGTATTTTATTATTTTAAAACTACAAACTACTGATGTTTCGGTTACTTTTCAGCAACCGTGATCACGGGCAGACGAGATGTGATATGTAATATTAGTTTCATTAAAATGATTATCGTTAAAATCTTAGATCTCATTAAATGAAGACAAATTCATTTAAGTCTTTCGTTTTAATATTGACACATTATTTTGAATATCTAAATCTATTCTTTACCCTATCATAATACTTTGATTGTTTAAAAAGAAACTTTTCAACCGACAGCCGATGAGTAAACAAGCGCCACATTTCGGTTACAAAACCAAATGAATGGTGTAGAACAAACGCGTTAATGGAAAACCAATATTTGAGTTGAGATCATTATCTCAGAGTAAAGATCTTTAAAACAGTTAAAACATCTACTTTCAGTTAGTATTAGACGCTGTTTGGTTAAATTACGCTTACTACAACTACAGTTTTACAAAAAAACAAAAAATAAATAACAAAAGTATGAAAACTCGGATAGATTAATAAATATTAAACACTAGTTATTTTCCAAACATGCCATTAATCACTAATCACCTACCTATTGTAATATTTATATTCCCATAATTTAGAAACGGAATGATAACTATGTAAAAAACAAAAAAATGGCGTGACGCCAACAAGCTCGGTTCGGTCAAGGTGAAGACAATTCTTTTAAACCGACAAATCATACTATTATCGTGTTGTAAAAATGAAAGGTATTTTTATATAAAATAACATTCATTCTTTACTTTGAATCCCTACTAATATTATAAATGCGAAAGTAACTTTGTCTGTCTGTCTGTCTGTCTGTCTATTACGCTTTCACGCCTAAACCACTGAATTTATTTTAATGAAATCTGATACAGATATAGAGTTGACTTTGAGAAAGAACATAGGATAGTCTTTATATCAGACTTTTGAAAGGTTCTCTTGGAAACGCGGTATAATAGAACTCCACGCGGGCGAAACTGCGGGCGGAAAGCTAGTGTAACTATAAACGCCAAGCAACTATTATAAATACGAGAGATTGTATCACATGCGTCTGTGTGCGTATTAAGTCCGGTTATAGTAATTCCTCTACAAATATTGTTTTTTTTCCTTCATCATAACTCATTAACAACTCATATTATAAAGTATAAACTTGAAAGCGTAACGTTTAATATTCCGCTGTAATTGCTGTTATAGGGAATCAGTGCGTTGCGCTCTAATTTAATAATAAACCTTACAACAAATGTGGGTAATGAGTCATGTATGGAGAAAGAGTTAGCACGTTAGCATCGGAGATCACAGCACCCACTATGCATATGTAGGTTAGAAAAAAGAATTTATATATAGTACATAGACAATAGAACAATTTATTAAAACATTTTCATTTCGTTAATCCATGAAAAAAACTTTTTTTTTTCTTCAATAATATAAAATGTATACAGCATATACAATGGATATTAGTAATGAGAAATACATAAACAACCCACTGTCTTATATTTGAAATGTTTGAATATTGAAGTTGAAGTTTGAATATTGAAGTGAAGTAACAAAAGAAATCACTGTCTTTTGTTGCTCACACACACACACGTACCTGTCAAACTAAATGACATTTGACGTGCAGGTGCATACTGAATTAATTAGTTGAATAGCTTCCCAATCGCTTCACAAGCATAGTTAAAAAACACGGTAGTGGGAGCATTCAATTTAAGAAGCCGATATAAAAAATGTTTTGTTTTTTTTTTTCCAATTAAATAACTAACCCGACTTACTTTTTCTTTTAAAAGTTATTGGACTGTTTTTGATTTACGTCAGATGTTTGACAGCTATGAGCATGCCTTTTCAAAAAAAAAAAAAATCTGTACCTATTGCCGGTAATTTTACTTTTTAAAAAACTTCCTATATGGTACACATTTATTACAAGTACCATTTCGTAACAGATCTTTGATATACAATAAGATGCTTTTGTGAAGTAAAAAGGTTTTTTCATTAAGCAATTATAACCTCATGATAATCTTACACAGACAAAAATTTCGAACATACGGCACCAGTCATTTCATCTTAGAGTTAAAAATATTCTGTAAAAGATGCTAGTAGTACCAAGTATACTTTAGTATTTTTCTTTAAAATAGATACAGAGGTTTAGTTTTTATTTATTCAAACATAGATAAATATAATATCGGCAAGTTGAAAATTTTTTCTTTTCGTATTCATTCCTTCCCCAAACTGACACCTCCAAAATTCCTACAATTGCAAACACGGGTTCGGTTGTAAATTATAAGTGTAAATAAACATTTTAGTCATTCAATGTTTCTTATTTTGAACTCAACTATATCGTATTGACTAATCTTGTAAACTTTATTGGTTTTGATGGTATTTATACTGCCAATCCAAAATTATAAGATCAAGCCATAATGATTAAAAGATTTTATCAGAGTGTTGCTAAATATGTTTTATAAATTCTGTCAAATAAAACTATTTGAGATAATTTAAACTTATGTATTATATACATAGATATATAATATAACCAACACATTTTAGTTTTTACTCAATTTAGTAAAGCGTAAAATGTTATGTTGCAACTTATCCAAATGTAAATTTATCGTTGACATCTAAAATAAAATGAAATACTAATAACGTATGTAACTTCAAGGTTGGCAGAAATGAGTTTAATGTTTATTATAAAAAAAAATGTAAGAGAAACGTAGTGTATAAAAAAATCAACTATCTAGGGTAGTGACAAATAAAGTAGGGGAAGAATTGTCAGCTTAAGACGAGAATTAAACCTTTTTTTATGGACGAACACCTCCAGTTCTACCTGCGTAACAATTTTTTTCTAATAACATCCAAACAAATGAAATCGACACTCCATTGTATGTGGCAGCCCTAGTTTATTTTTTATTTAAATATTATTTGGTATTTTTGTATCAGATATCTCGAAAAGAGATCGTAATATCATTAATAAAACATTAAGTGTTGTTATAGCGTTATTTTATCCAATTAAGATTTTACGAGTGTCCCATAAAGTTGGGAAGACGGGAAGCTATTCTGAGAAGAAAAAACTTCTATCTGTATTTCCATGGGAATCTGACAAACTGAGGAATTTAACACTCACGATATAATCAGTGAGTGTAATTAAGATTTTGAGATATTGTAACATATTTAAAATAAACACCCAATACGGTACGGAGTGGCTTCAAATTTTATTACTGAAAAAACTACTTTCACTTTATCAATTATTATTTTAAAACCTCTATTCCAAATATTGTAAAATCACACGGTTCTTTAACAACGCTATTGATTGATTGATTCTTAAGCGACATAAATAAAACCGTTAGATACTAATTAGTTCAAAAAACTTTCCCAATATGTTTACCCACTAACAATATTTACAGATATTATAGCCGTGATAAGAGGCAGGTGAGAACATTGTATTTGTGCACCAAATACCGTCAGAATCAATATAGCCCATTATCAATAACTCACACCTAAACCCAGTCAAAACTAGAACGCTCAAACAAATACATCGATATTATAGTGGGTTGAAATATGTTAGCGCCAGAATGAAATAAGAATATTATCACTTATTTTTTAATACGAAACCTACAAAGAAAAACTTATTAACTACCCGTTAGGCTTGGATCAGAAGGGGATTAAGGTTGAAACTTGTTCAAATCCAATTAAATAGATATCAACATTTCATTCAATTTCATATACTATACAGGGTGACTGGTGAATTACTATCAATATTTAAGGAGAATACTCGGTACATGATTCTGATTCGAATTATGTAAAAAAAATAGGTGCTTAATTTTTGACCAAATTTCCGTATAAATAAATAAAGTGTGGACACGTTCCAAGTGTTCCAAGCATGGACGCGTGCGGCGGCGTGCTGATACAACACCACGTCGCCGCACGCGTGTGTGTGTATGTGTGTATACCTAATCTGTAGGGTGTTCACACGATGCGTAATTAATTACATAACTTTTGGTTAACTTTACTTAGAAGTTTATTAATATTTATGTTATATTAATTTTTATTTTGTCATATATGATCGTCAAATATCATGTCCTAAAGTATCGATAGTAATTCACCAGTCACCCTGTATACTAATTAAATTATTTATAAATAATTACCGATAATACTGGCAGGCCGATCCCAATGATGTACAGCATCAGATTAGTGACAGTGGAATCCTTGTATGGATGCTTCAACGATTCGTCATCACAGAAGAAGCCTCTCTCGTACGGTGCACCCCACAAGTAGAACACCAGGATTAAAAAACCGACTGGAACAAATTAAATACGGTTATACAGGGTGACTGGTGAATTACTATCAATATTTAAGGAGCATACTCGGTACATGATTCTCATTGGAATTATGTAAAAAAAATAGGTACTTAATTTTTGACTAAATTTCCGTATAAATAAATAAAGTGTATACACGTTTCAAGTGTTCCAAGTGTGGACGCGTGCGGCGGCGTGCTGATACAACAACACGCCGCCGCGCGCGTATGTGTGTGTGTGTATACCTAATCTGTAGGGTGTTCATACGACGCGTAATTAATTACATAACTTTTGGTTAACTTAACTTAGAAGTTTATTAATATTTATGTTATATTAATTTTTATTTTGTCATATATGATCGTCAAATATCAGGTCCTCAAATATCGATAGTAATTCACCAGTCACCCTGTACATATAACAATTTAACGATAATTGGAATATCAATTCATATACCTAATGTACATAGTAATGGTTACATTCTCATTAATACTATAAGCACAACATTTTTCCTTAATAATTGGAATAGGTCCCGAACATTTAGAAGTTGATAATCTAAGAAATAAACCCTATACCTTAAAGCCACTGTCGTATTAAAAATATGAAGTATCACCACGAAATTTATTATGAAAACAATATACATATATTTATAATATTATAATGTTCTTATAATCCTGTGATTCATATATCTTAGCTTGGTGGAACGGATGAAGTATATAAATATATCCATATATATATATATATATATATATATATATATATATATATTAAACTGCGTTTTGATAAATGATGCACATCTTTGAACAGTTTCATACAAAATACAGTCTAAAATTTCTCCTATAAAGTAGCATAAATATTATTCCGATGATTACATTAGGATTATTTTCAATTTATATTAAATACATATCGTTTTAAAATAACACGCAGCTAATAAATAACGTGGCAACAACGATTAGGGACGATTCATATCAAATGGAAATCTTTGAGAGCAATTTAAATGGGTGCAGACTGATCCCATTCTCGCTGGATCAACTACTCCGATTGTTTCTTCTCAAAACAAACTTAGGGACGGACAAAAAACATCAGGTATCATACGACGGAGACGAGGATATAAAGGCACTGGAAACGATTATATTGTTGAGAATTTTACTAAAGTAAATTTGTATTGAGCACTGTTTTACTATGACATAATTGGAGTCATAGAAAGAAATAAAGAAACAGGTCTATTTTTTGCTATATAAATATAATTTAGTAAACAATGACACCATTTTAAACGACACAAACTACATCGAAGTTGTATTTTAAAACTAATAATAATTTCCCTTCAAAGTATTATGATCTTGGTAGCCTGTCTCATCTAGTGCACCCATCATCAAAATCGTAAAGCGTTCCCCTTTGTTATTGATCTTAGTTAAAAATAACAAACAAAACATTATCGTCCGGGACGTTCTGTGGCGAGCTTTTACTGAGCACTTAATACTGATTGAGTCTCGGTTATAATACACAACGATTTAACGTTTCTGGGTTAAAATTATAATATACGCTAATAAGGCTGCGTTTACAATGGAACGGGGAGCGGGACTTGAGCTATCGGGAGGGATTGCTATGATTGAAAATGATTAGTAATAAATTAACGTCACCAGGAATTGGGTTTTTGAAAAAAAAAAAGTATTGATTTTTTTTATGTATTTTAAAACTTTATTATTAATTATATTGGATTTTTAATGCAAAAAACTTGAAATAATTTTTTTTTAATTAATTATAAACAATTAAAAATTGATAAAATTCAAAAATATATCACGTGACTGTAAACGCGCCATGATTGGTCAGCATACTTGTGACGTCATAATGTTAAAGCAATTTCATAATAGTACAGTGTTTATGGCTATTATCTTAACCTTGATAAAAATATCTCAAATTTATTAGTGAAAAACGATTTGAAAAGTTTATTTCGACTATGTGTGATAAAGGATTTATAAAAGCAAAATCGGATAATATTCCTGATGTTGATATATTTATGATAACTAATTTTTTTAAAAATTACGTTCGGTTTAATTCTGCTGAAGTTCGAGGTGATAAGGCATCAAGGTAAGTCTGTTAAAAAATACTATTCTAAATGAAAATAAGTATTTATTCTCTATTAAATATAATTAATAATTATTTCATTAAATCATTATTAATAAAATGTTATTATAACATTATAAAAAACCAAAATAACATATACTTTAAAAATTTAAATGTAGTCTGATACAGAACCTAGAATGTTATAAAATTACGAAAATATCTATTAATTGAAGTCCAATTCTTAGACAAACATACATATAGATTTACTATTTAATCGCTTTGAATTATCAATTAAAAATTTTTAATGCTACGATTCTAAAGGTTATGATTTGGAGCCCAGGTAAAAAAATTAATTATTGAACTATACTTATTCGATTTATACACTTAGATAAATAATAATTAATAACAATACTATTATGAATACTTACAACGAAATGATCTTCACAACAAAAAAAAAATGATTTTGTTTTTGAATAATCTCGATGCACTGCTTGAAACCATTTCTTTCGACGTTTTTCGTCTTGTGGAACATTTAAAAACATTTTTTCAGGAGTTGTTTTTGTAGTCTTTGTACATAATGGTACAAAACTTTTGATTATTTAACAATGCCAACAGAATTTACTAGATAAAAACTCAAAACACTGTACTAATTATTATATCCCTGTATGCTACAATGAGCAAAAACTAACATTGTGACGTCACACGCGCTCGGGTTTATTCGCGAGCTGTCGGCGGGTCTTCGGTACTGAATTTAAAATTTAATTTTTATTTTGATATAACTTTTTAATTATTGCAAAAAAAATAAAATAAAAATAGTTTTGTTATAAAACTTATATATGATCTTTCCATTTATCACAAAAAAAAAAAAATATTCAAAAACCCAATTACACTTGTTTTTTATTAGGATAAATATGCTTTGAATCTTGGAATAATTTAAGTTTGATTGAACAGAACTTACGATTTCTTAATTAATACCACTTTTTTATTTAATGGGTAATTCTTTATAAAAATGGACTATCAAAATATGACCTTATGTGTAAATTAAAAGCAAACTGGAATGTTTTTTTAATAAGTATCTTAGGCGAAAATATAAGCATTTCTATCGCTCTTTAATTTCTTTTATTTTTTAACATCATGTGTTTTTAAGTTATTTTACTGTTATAAATTATTACCAACAGTTCCGAAGGTCTCATATTAAAATAAATATTTTTATGTAACGGTTTTATGTAATGCATTATTTTTATTTGTAAATATTATTCGACTCGATCTTTATCTACAAATGTTTTATTTAATATGTCAATTTAGATAAACCGTGCCTATTCATATAAGGCCAAAAATGCCTTACAACATTTAAGAAAGAAGTGACACTCTTATTCTCCTCTACAGTGTGGTATCGATATTAATCAAACATAGCTTAAAATCACTGCCAGGGACTAGGAACCTGGCTTCCAAAATAAAAAACGGCATCGAAGTCGGTCCATCCGTAAGACAACTACGATGTCATAGAACGAACGCGCACACTAACGTAGAGATCAAATTCAAAATTACAACAACTTTTTTTGAATCGGGTATTAAAATTTATTGCTATAACCCGCTCGTGCTTCTAGTATAAACGCAACCTTATAAATGTAAAGTCGTAATGACTAATGGTTTTGTTTGTAATGCCAATATTAACGAAATATATAGGTAAGTATTGATAAATTGAAATAAGCGAGCTATTAAATAAATTAGGCAAAATAACTTATTTAAACTAATATTTTAATAACCAAAATATGTATGTATAGGAAGTTTTTTTTTGTTTTTCATCAAATACTCCTACTACAAGTTACAATTATAAACCTAAACGATAATTTCAACTTTATCACTTACGTTTCCAATTCATTACATGTGACAACGTATGGATGGAAACTCGAAACACGTTGTATGAACGATGAAAAATCATAGTAAGGCCAACAATTAAGTTAAAGGCCAACGACCGAGTTTTTGTTTTCCGTGATAATTCAACATTAAACAGAATGTATGGTAGACAGAGCTTTGAAAATATCATAACTCCACAAAATTTCCACATATAGAGAAAAAGGAGAAAAAGTTTTAAAAATATATATTTTTAAGTACAGAACTATTTACATATATGATATGAATTGTATAATTCGATTTAATTAATAATTAAATACCTTTTTTTTGTTCAAAAACTAAACTCAATAAACCGATCTTATAACAAACAATCCATATTTCTAAAACAAAACAATATTTTGTAAGCACGAACAAAAAATCGATAATTCTAGCACAGCACTATTTTTTCTAAGCACGACCAAACAATCGATAAAGAATCGTTATTTAAACATGCCTTATCACAGGTTAACTACAAAGAGGAATTTATAACTTGAAAGGTGTAAAATGATAAGCAGTTATGGAGGCAATTTAAGGCCATGACAAACCTGAGTTAGGTAAATTCATCTCTATCGTCTTCCTGGTACAGATAACACGTAACTCGAAGAAAAATGTTACGTACAATATTAATTATCATATTATAGCTCAGGTTTGTCAAGTTCAACGAACTACTGATAAATTTTGTATGAAAATCATAGGTCACGCTTGGGTGGTTTAAAAGTTAGTTTGTTTTTAAGTTAATTTGTTATATTGTTGTTAGCAGTTGCTTCTCTATGTAAATATAAGTATTTATTGATATCATATGTTTTAGATTACATAGAAATATTTGTATTATTTTGTATATAATGAATATATATGGAAAAATTAAAAATGTTAAGTCTTTTTAACTAGACTAAATATCACTCGCTACTTTACCTGCGTTGCACGCTTGGGTTATTTATTTTTTAGGAACTTTGATTATGGTTTATGATTTTCTTAATACATATTTATATGCCTAAAATAATTGGAACAAACGGACGCATGTAGAGAGACAATGAATTAAAGTCCGAGG